TGCTGCCGCCCCCGCGGCCCCCGCTGCTGCTGCTGCTGCTGCTGCTGCTGCTGCTGCTGCAGCAATGGAGCCCCCACTCCCCACACTCGGGCGGCGCCTCCCAGTGGCCAGCCGCCCTGTGAAGATAGCGGTGACAGTGGCGGACTCGAAGGACCTTTTGCGAAAGGTAAATTTCTTTTTTTTTTTAATAATTTTAATGCTTTTTTGTCTCTTTTTGTCTCTTTTTTTCTTCCTTTCGGGCCTCTCTTTTGTCTCCTTTCTGCTGCTTCTCTGCTGCTTCTTTGTCTCCCTTTTTGCCCCCTTTTGGTCTCCTTTTTTCGCCTTTTTGCTGCCTTTTTGTGGCCTCTTGGGTCCATTTTTGCTTCATTTTCATCTTTTTTTCATTTCTTTTTTCATTCTTTCCCCCTTTCTTTTTGTCCTCTTTTTTGTCTCCTTTTTGTCTCCTTTTTGTCTTCTTTTGGTCTCCTTCTTGCCTCTTTATCTCCTTTTTGTCCCTTTTTCGTCCTTTTTTTGTCTTTTTATTGTCTCTTTTGTCTCCTGTTTGTCCCTTTTTTGTCCCTTTTTGTCTCCTTTTTGATATCCTTTTCATCTTTTTTGTCTCCTTTTATTTATCTCTTTTATCTTTTATCCTTTTTGATCTTTTGTTATTTTTAAATCTTTCATTTTCCTTTTTATCTTCTTTTAATCTTGTTATTTTTGGATCTTTTATTTTCTTTCTATATTTTTTGTTTCTGTTTGTCCCCCCTGTCTCTTCCCCGTGCCTCCGACCTGCTGTTGCTGCTGCTGTCCTTGCTGCTGCTGCTGCTGTCCTTGCTGCTGCTAGTGTTGTCCTTGCTCCTGCTGCTGCTGCTGATACTACTGCTGCTGCTACTGCTGTTACATGTTGCTGCGGGTTCTAGTACTGCTGCTGCTGGTGCTGCAGCGACTGCCGCTGCTGCTCACTACTGCAGCAGCCGCTGCCCCTGTTACTGCTGCTGCTGCTCATGCTGCTGCTGCTGCTGCTGCTGCTGCTGCTGCTGCAGGCGCCTCCAGTGGCCCGCAAGTGGGCGCTGCCGCCCCCAGGAGATGTTTCTCGGCAGTCTTTTTGTGCTGGGGTTCTTTTCCCTCCCGTGTCTGCTGCTGCAGTTCGCACGCAGCAGCAGCAGCAGCGGGGGGCTGCAGCAGCAGGTGCTGCTGCAGCGGCTCACGGGCTCGGCGCGGCCCCCACCAACCCGTGGAAGCTGCCGACCCCGCAGCAGCAGCAGCAGCAGCAGCACCAGGAGCAGCAAGAAGCACTGAAAAAGTCCCTTGCTGCTCCCCCGGGGGCTCCTCCCGCTGCTGCTGCTGCTGCTCGATCGACAGAAGCGTCTCCAGCAGCAGCAGGACAAGCAGCGCCAGCAGCAGCGGCACCGCCAGCAGCAGCAGCACCCGCTGCTGCTGCAGCAACAGCAGCAGCAGCACCCGAGGCAGCAGTGAAACCAGCAGCAGCTGCTGGCCCATCTGGCGCTGCTTCTCCTTCTGCCCCTGTCTCCTTTGCTGCTCTCAAGTCTCCAGCAGCAGCAGCAGACTCAGCAGCAGCGATTGGAAGCCGTAAGTAACACTGGGGGCTTAGGGTTTAGGGTTTAGGGCCTAGGGTTTAGTGTCTAGGGTTTAGCTCGAACAGTGCCCGAAGCACCAGCCCTAATCTCGCCGCTGCAGCAGCTGCTACTGCAGCAGCAGCTGCATCAGCAGCTGCAGCAGCAGCTACCACTGCCAGGAAGAGCTGCAGCCGAGAGCCAGATGCGTCCGCCGAGGGTTTAGGGTTTAGGGTTTAGGGTTTGGGGTTTGCATGCATTTGCTGCGGCGCTGCAGCTCAACCCTCGCTGGATGCTGGACTTAGCCTGGGGGGAGGTGTTTCTCTCTCGACGCTGATTGCTAAAAACAGCAGGAAATGTGGGACTTTATGGTTTAGGGTTTAGGGTTTAGGGTTTAGGGTTTAGGGTTTGGGATTTGGGGTTTAGGGTGGCACTTGGGGCCTCAGTATTTAAACGCTGCGGGGCTGCCTTGCGAAGAACAGCGGGGCAGCAGCAGCAGCAGCTGCTGCTGCTGCCGCGTGGTTTATCGGGCTCAAGATATAGAGACTAGGGTTTAGGGTTTAGGGTTTAGGGTTTGCGTTTCAGGCATAAGCGTCAGCGTGAGAGGGCGCGCTGTGAACACCCTGGCGGGAACAGCGAAACCATCAGGGTCTGCGTGGAAGAGTGGAGCAGCAGAGCCAGCAGCAGCAGCAGCAGCAGCAGCA